ATCAACATTTTACTAGATTCACAGGAAATTCCCAGCACAGTTTGCCAATTGATATTAGAGCATAAAGTCCAAAGGAGTCATATAGATATATGACTTTTACATGTATGCATTTCATATATATATATGAATATATATATTCGTTATATACATAATATATATATTTCATACCTATATTTCTTTTTTAATTTATAGGATGTATATTTATAAGATGCACGGTATCACCTGTGCTAAATAAACCTAAAAGCACTGACTTTGCTTTTCGATGGGGACAAGACTGCAAAAATATAAAATTTCACACTTTTTGGCTTCATTCTAACAGCCGTTTTCTTGCCAATTTAATAAGGCTATTAATTGACCTGGATGCAAATTTCAGTGTAGCTATATTTCTTTTGGGATGTTTGGTGTCTTTCTTGTACTAATGCAGATTATTAATGATTTCATAAAGGTTTGATTTGTCCTTTTGGACACTCATATTAATAATCCCCACCTCGTACTGAATATATATAAAATAGTTAGCTACGTTTTGGGGAAAGCAAATAGCAATCTCTACCCATTAGCAACTCCAAAACTAAGAAAAAAGCTCCTGATGAGGCATATGAGCATTGCCCGATGATTATCTTGAAAATTCTTTCTGAAATTTCATATTTGAATTAAATTTAAGAAATTAACATTTGCAGCATCTTTTACTCACACACACAAACAGAAAAAGTGGGAGAGAGAGAGAGCGAGGGAGAGAGAGAGGAGATTGAGAAATAAGCAAATAAACCAAAAATAAGGATTTTGCAGACCAGTCTCAGACGGATGCTTCAGACTTTTTAGTCCAACTGCCATTTCTCTGGTTGCATACGATGTGTTGTGTGTGAAAACAATCACACATAAACAGGAATTTGAGCTCCACAACACTTTACTTTCTCTTCCTCTCCCCTCCCTTCTCAATGTCCTTTTACTTCCTCATCTGCCAAATCAAACGCTCAATCAGGAGCAATAGCCTACAATTAGCTTTTTCAATTAAAATGTAGAGTTCAAAGTTGACTCCAGAGTGAGTAATTGCTTTTGAAAACCACAACCAGCAGGCAGCTGCCAGATTAGTACAACAGTTTATTTAACCTCAAAACATCTGATCAATTTTATTATCTCAGCAGAAGGGAGATATCCTGGAGAGCAGGGTTTAAAATATACTACTCATCCTAGATGTCTGCAAGAAAATAAAAATTCTTCAGCACTATAAATATGCTTTTGCCATCACCTTGCTGAGAAAACAAACTCAAATCACACTTTCTTCATTGGAAAGTCAATAGAAATGAAGAAACTGAACGCAAAAGCTTCGTGACATCACTGGGGTGGGAGTCTGGGGAAAGGGGCCAGGAACAATCCACAAAATTACAAGGTTTAAAAACATTCAAACATCCGGCTCATGATATTTAGAGTTTTTAATTCATCCAGAAAGAAGATACAGAAAGGGCTGCCAACTTCACCAAAACAAAGAATATCACGTTTCCAGAATCCTGATTTGGCTGCCTCCACACTGCCAAACTTATTATTCAGAAATCTGCTCTTAAGTCTTGAGAGACCAAGGGAACTGAAATCTTCCTATTACACAAATGGGCTGACCAGCCTTCAGGGCTCCTGCCTTGCCCAGCAAGACCAGGACACACAACATGACCTTTTTACCTCCCGCCAGACAACGGCCTCAGGATTTCTCCCACTTCTTGCCGACCCTTCTATCCCTTTCCATCAGGCCTTCCCTACACATCTTTGGATTCCGTCTCCACCACTAATTCTGCAAGCCCACCGGAACCTACCCCGCAAAATGGGTTGTGTTGATTATTTCACTATCCTCATCCTTTTCAAATAGGCAATATTGGGTAAGAACGTAGACCTCTTAGCAATCATCCTGGATTTCAGTATCATTTCCACCATTCACTATAGAATAATCTTGAGCCAAGTACTTTACTTCTCTGTGGCCCAGTTCTCTCATCTATAACCTCATGACTTTGTTGTGAACATTGAACAGTTATGTGTTGCCTGGTTATAACCAGGTGTGGCACATTGGAATGCAATGCAAATTTTAGCTTTCCGTTTTTACCATTCACTCCTGATGTAGTCTTTATTTCCCTTTGGCTCTGAACCTTGACTGTTAGACAGTTCTACCCACCACAGGACAGGGTCCCATCTCGTGGAACATCACCTCAGAGAGCTTGGAAGAAGAGTATCAATAGAGCTACCTGGTCTATTCTTGTATCCTGACTTTGGGGTCATGTTCTAACAAAGCTTTAATACAATCACATGTCTCTTATCTTGCTAGCAATTTAACCACCTCAAACAAGTCCCAGGTAGACCCAGAATACAGGTAACCTCCAACTACAGTCATCTCTGAAATATACCATCTTTCCAGCCACAGAAATACAGCTAGATACTAATTTGTGTCACTGCATTTGAGGAATGTGAGTACTGTATCTTTCCTGCCCATTCCACCAACTGTACACTTGAAAAAAAAAAAGAAAAACAAAAACATTCAAAGAACAGAACAATTTAGAAAGTGTTCATAGGAAATCATTGATTTCAACAAAGACATATCGCTATCACCCAAATCATGAAAACATTGTTAAAATGCTTATTCTTTATTTTCTGTCTTTCGTTTATTCCTCAATCTCATTTCACTATTGTTTCTAGAACCATGCCAACATGTTGGGTAGCCTTGAATTCCTAAGAATTTTTGTTTCATACACAATGTTTTGTGGATATTTTAATGTAAAATGGATTGATATATAACTTCCAAATAAACAAATGTTGATTTATACAGATTTTGATTCATTCTCTTAATTAATCATTAATAGTGTTCTTACCATGTATTCATGTTGCTTTATGTACATATAATTTGTTGCTTTTAATTACTAGAGTACTCCAGAGTGTATTATCATGACAGCTTTACCTGACCACTCAATGCTTGTCATTTAAATAACAATATATTAACATCTAATAGTTAATTTCATATTTGATCAACTTGACCTAAAGTCACAGTGATTCTGATAATTTACTGAGGGAATTATTTTCTCCAGTCTTTTACATAAGCATTCCCACCTTAATTATTAAGACAAATTATCCTTTCACTTTCTAGTAAAGATACACTCTGAGAAATAAACACTTCTCGTTTTGAATTCTGACTGTTGGTATCCAACATGCTTTGTTGATTAAAAATAAATGCCGTTCAGAGATACAGAACGATATAAAACATAGACATCTTATAGACTTTGTGGAAATAGGCCATGAATAAAACATAAATAGTAAGTCAGCCATTTTTCAGTATCTATAGCACTTTAATTACAAAAAAAATAGAAATGCACAAGATCCCCAAACTGTTTGTTCAAATCCTACACTGCTGCACTATAATATAACGCAATGTTGGAAATAGTTTAAATGTCTATCGGTAGGAAACTGGAGCCTAAATATGGAATTTTATGAAACTGTAAAAAATGAAGTAGTTCTGTAAGTACTGACACAGAAACATCTTAAAAATACATTGTTAGTGAAAAAAGTATTTTTCATATGATTCCCTTTTTGTAAAAAAAAAAAAAAGAAAGAAAAAAGGAAAGGAAATAAAGGAAATATACATGTTTAATAATGTGTATATATACAGGATTGCATGTATTAGAAAATATCTGGGAAGATTCAAATTCCACAAAGTGAGAGCAAAGTCTAAGAGATGGAGAAAAAAAGTTTACCTTTTAATTTTTGTCCTTAGTACCATTTACATATGTTTGGTTGTTTACAACAAGTATGTATTAATTTCATACTAAACTTTTCTAAACATTTATAAAAACTTTTCTAAACATAAATAAAAGTACAGTGAATAAGCCTGACTTTTGAAGAAAGTTGGGAGATTGATTTTATTTACAAGTGAGGTAATGAGGGAGTCGACCCAGTGACAGCATCATTCAGGCGAATAGAAGCAAATGTATAAAAGGAACAAAAACCAGATCAAGATATCAAGAAGTCACCCTTGCCCCAAATAACTTATTAAAAGGCAATGTAAAGTCAAAATAGCTATTTCCACATTGACATATCACTTAAAAATGGTGGTATTTATTTTTTACTTCAGTGGAAAAAGAAAATTAAAAAATGCAATCTAAATAAAAGTAACAATTTTCAGTGAACCGAGAGGTTAGGGGAAAACTCTCTTTTGGCCATTGATGCTGACAGTAAGGTGAGTGATAAAACCAGATGGACATGTTTTTCTAATAGTTAAGATATTAAGAAGTTAATTTTTTAAATTAAAAAGTATTTCAAATAATACACATATACTATTCCTTTGATGAGAATTACATAAATCCAGTTAAAATGTATTGTACCAATACAAAGTTATTATCATCTTAGTTTTTGATATTTTACTTTTAAGATTATGTTTTAATGTTCAGAGCTTCAAAGAGATTATAAATTATTTTTATTTTTTTCCCAAATATTCAGAAATAAAAAGTTCAAAATATAACTTGGCGATTTGTGTTGAATTTTGACTATATTTCAAATTACTTAGAAAACTGGGAAAAAAGATATTTTAACAGAAATATGAGAAAATAAGATGTAAATGCAGAAACATCCATACAAGAATGGGTAGCACTTTTTATCCCTGAGAAATTTTCATTTTTAATTTTCCTAAGACAAATAGATTTTTCTTAAGTTAAGAATTAAACATTTGATTTTGTTACTGTATAATCAAACAAATCATCCAGTGAAAGAATGTATCTTAAATGTTTGAGAAAGCTATAACGAAGTGGCAGGCTTACAGGTAAATAGTGGAATCATATCCATGGCAAATAAAGTAACAACAAACCTAGAATATTTGCTGAAACATAATCAAATGTAGAATCAAGATGTTTTACATTGATAGGCACAAATAACTGATGTAGATTTTCTGCTCACATGATTTTAAATTCTGAAATTTTCACATATACAATAAAGATACTGATGTTCCATTACTGTACATTGCACTAAATTTTCTTAAGAAAAACATATTTGCTCATCAAAATATTCCATAAGATTTCAATGAGAGAAATAGTAAAAAGAGTGTGAAATAAATTCTAGGTATTGCATTTCAATCTTGCTTTCCCTAATGCTTCGCAGAAAGGCAGCGCCTGGAAGGAAATATTCATGATGTTATACTCCCTCTAGTGGGTATCTTGTAAATGGAAAGTTCAACGCCCTCCAGGCACACTCCAATGCACTCTGGCTTCAGGATTCTCTTGATCCTGAATGGGAAGGGTCTTTGCACATTGTCTAGTCAACAGTTCCTGTAAAGCAGGAACCTTAGAAGCAGCCAGATCATGTTTGATCTAATTTTCACTTCCTCAGGAAACCTACTGCTTCCATCTTGGGGTAACAATACTTAGCAAGTTATGTATATATTGAATGCAAATTCCAGTTTTTGTAACATGTACTTTTGGACTCTAGAAGAAACTGGGAAAAGGGTACCCCCTTTTCCATTTTGCCCATCCTTAAGTATATTTAGAAGATGGTTCACGGTAGCAGCAGATACTAAACAAGTGAAAAACGATAGCATCAAGAAGCCATTTTAAAAGTATATAGTTTCAGGCAGGAGTAACAAAGTAAGAATGTACAATTGATTATAATTGAATCATAAGCAGAAATTGGTTATTTGTTATCATATATTCTCACTGCCTATATCCAATACTGAGTGTTGTACCCAATACCAAACGGTTTATGAAGACAAATATGCCCAATAGATTTTTGTTAATTTGAAGCTTTTGAAAAATGTTCCTTTCACTTTATAGGCAAACATTTCATTAACTTCTCTTGGGTGGAGGATGTAGTGCAACGTATTATTTTTGTTAGTCTACAGTGGTAGAGGAGCTGTGTATAGAACGTAAGAGACCTCGAGGGACTTAGAGCCCCAAGGGTGAAGCAAAAGCATCTGCACGAAGGAGCAGAACGTAGTTACACAGCACAGGGACGCAGAGCACACCTACCCTACATTTGCTCAAATTCATCTCCCCAGTCTCAAGATTTCATACTGAAATTCCCACCATTAGAAGCCCCTTGAGTTGGAAAACCCCTGTTCCTTTACCTCTCTGAGTGAGCACAAAACCTATAACTTAATGTTGTGAAGATGTCGCCCCAGTTTAATGCTTGGGGTCACCAATACTTACTAGTTCCCATTTATACCCTGTAACAGATTAACTTGCTTTTCAGACCGTCTGCTGCTCATGGAAGTGTTTTGGAAAAACGAGGGACAACAGTGAGAATTAGGGCAGGTCTCGGGGTGCAATGTGGAAGAGAAATTTTTGTCAGACACGGCACTCCAATGTAGGATGGAAGAGAGGAATTTAAAGAAATGCAGGAATTCCCAAGGGACATACTTAACAAGTATGGGGCAGTCCAGCTCCACTATCCCTCAGAAAAGGAAGCTCAGCCTTTTTCAAAAACTAAGGATCGCCTACTCCAGAGGAAAATTATAGGATTTTTTTCTATAATAATATTAATTTTATCTACCATAAGTCTCCTGGGAAGCTTACTTTGTAAAATTATGACATAATTGAAAGGATGAAGAGGCAGGCGTGAGGCAGAGCAGAGATACTGGGATACGGACAACTAAATGGTAGCAGACTGTTTGGTAGACCAGACTGTGTGGGCGCGCACTGATGTTTGTACACCCACGCAACCAGACAAGCGCGCTGAGTCGTCTAAGGCAGCAGTTCTCAAAGTGCGGCCTGGGATGTCCCCTACAACATCCACCTGCGGCTCATACAAACACAATTTCCAAAGCGCAATCCAAGACCTATTCAGTCTGAATTTCTAGGGATGTTGTCTGAAAAGCAACATATTTAACAAGATCCCAGCTGATTTTCTGTACAAATACTCAAGTGTAAGAATCTCAGCACCAGAGATTTTAAAAAAGATCTTCACAGGTTCTTACATAGAACTTAGCATTGAAGCAATGGGGATGGAGGAAATAGGTTCTAAGGGGAAAATCATGCATAAACCTTTACAAATACCTTAGAAATTGCCATTTGGATACCAACACGCTCTCTCAATTAGATTTCCCCACTAAGTGGGAAGAGAATTTAGTTTTTCTGACTAAGCACTAGATTACATAATTGTCTTAACATTTGAAGACCATACTGAAAAATATTTACCTTTAAAATCTAGAACTATCTTGGGCTTGGAGAAATTATACTCTGAGAAACACTGGGCAGAACAAAGACCTGATGGGAAAGCGGAAGATTTAGTGTTTTTGTTTGTTTCTTTTGGCTAAGCCAGAGAAAGTACCAATGAACTAAAAAGACAGATTTACTGATTTATTAGTTCATTTAGTCACTGAGCAACAACTATATATAGGTGTTATGTTTAATGACACAATATCAAGATGATGAGTTAAATTAGTGTGATCCTAACTAATGAGAGTTTGTTGTACTTCCAGAAAACGGCATCATGAAAACTTGTAAACTTAGGGTGAGAAACCTCTTAACAGATACTTTATTTTCAATCTAATACTTTAAAATGTGTTAAGAATTTGAGTTAAGAGAAAGAAAACGATAAGGACAACTGTGTGGAGATAAACGGATAGGAGTTTTAATCATTCACAGGTGATAAAAGAAGGAAGTAAACCCATTTTTCTATAGGAATGATCTAATCAGTCACTTTAAAGTGTCATGGCTTTCTGGCCTATTTACTTGATGTTATTTGTTATTTAAATATTTCATAGTTATTGCCAATCTTCTCCTTATAAATCGGGCATAGGATTCTGAATACTCTACTCTAAGGTCCGTTTACACGAATCACTGGGTGTAGGGACTTGACTGTCTTCTCTGTTCCTTGAATACATGTAAACGCATCATTGCCCCCCACACACCTGACAGCCACTATGTCCATCAATAGTATCATATAGACCACAAAATAGTCTTATCGTGCCATTGTCTCACAGAGAAACTTATACAGCATCACTTTCAGTGCATTGCAAAATGTCAGCAGTTTTTGTGGTTTAAAAGCAACAGAAAAAGAAAATCTTCCTAACAAACATCGTGCATCTCCAAAGAAACAGCAATAGTGTGGCCACAGAGATTATAATAAAAAAACACATTCTCTATTCGTAAGGAAGTCAACTATAGGGGCATTGAAAGAGCTATATGAATTTATGTTTTTATTTTCTCAGCACTCTTTCAATCCTAAACCTTGAAGAGTACTGATACAAATTTCTTTTTTGCTACAAGTGCACTTTCAAATGGGAGAGAACATTCTGCTACGTATTTACAAAGAAATACCTCGTGTGTGCTTCAATCCATTTCTATTGACAAATTCTCAATATTCTGATGTCTAAGCCTTCACATTTAATTCTGAATTCTGCACTATAGATCAACTACACTTCCTTCTCAACCCCTTCTATTTATTTCCTCAAAAATCTGTGTGAACTTGAATCACCGAGTACCCTGTGTCTACAGGACCACTGGGCCGTGGCCTCTCCAACATTAGATAAACTGTGGCAACATCACCTGTATTATTTTGAGAATTTGTCCATGTGTCATTTTTTTTTTAAAGATTTTATTCATTTCATTTGACACAAGTAGGCAGAGAGGCAGGCAGAGAGAGAGAGGAGGAAGCAGGCTCCCTGCTGAGCAGAGAGCCCGATGCGGGGCTCAATCCCAGGACCCTGGAATCATGACCCGAGCTGAAAGCAGAGGCTTTAACCCACTGAGCCACCCAGGCGCCCCTCCATGTGTCATTTTTAAAGCAAAGTGATCTATGAACAGACGATATTAGCCTTGGGGAAAATAAAAGAAAGTTTATTTTCTTATATCCTCTACCTATTGCTAGTTCTTTTTGCCATTTGTCTTTTTGTCTCCTACTAGCCCCTTCTTGCCAGCCTGCCACACCAGAGGGCCATGGTTCTTTAATCCTACCTTCATTCCCTGCTCCTTGGGTGAAGGAATGGGTGAGAAGAGCAATTCTTAAGACAAGATAAAGCAGAAGGGAATGGTAAGAATCTGGTATTTTTCTAAAAATTCTGATTAAAAAATTAAATAAAAATTATGATTTAGCACTGTAATTTTCTACCTTGAAAAAACATTATTTTCATAACAAAGACTTCAGAAAGCAAACTTCAACTAAAACTTATTTGTTGGTATATCAGTGCCTCATTGTTGCTGTAATAAATTACCATAAACTTGGTGGGTTAAAACAGCCCAAATGTATTATCTTGTAGTCCTACTGGACAAAATTCTAACATGGATCTCAAAAGGCTAAAATCAAAGCGGTAGCTGGGCTGCATTTCTACAGGTTCCAGGGGCAAATCTATTTCCTTGCCTTTTCCAGCTTCTAAAAGACACCTGGATGTTGTTTTGTGACCCTTCTTTCATTTCACAGCCAGCAGAGATCCGTCTCCCTGACCATCCCTCCATTGTCAAGCCTCCCTTTGACTCCCCCTGGAACTCTCTTCCCACTTTGAAGGACCCTTGTGATTTCTGCCACCAATCCCCCTCCCCCGAAATAGAATGCAGTAGAATCTATTTAGAGTAGTTGACCAACAACCCTAACTTCATTTCCAATCCTAATTGTCCTCTGCCATGTAAGGTAATGTACATACAGGTTGTGGGAATTAGGATGTGGACTTCTGTTGGGACTCTCTAGTGGACCACCACTAGGGAGGGTCGTGGTAACATGGTAATTATTCGTCATCGAAGAGGTCCTCCCTTTAAAGGGAGATGCAAGATGCAATTCAAAGAAGTGGTGGGACCAGGTCAGGAAGACTGGGCAAGTGGTTTAGTGATAGTATTAACTATTCAGGAGGGGGTTTGTTTGGGTAGAAGAGGCAAATACACTTCCGTGGGAGCTTGGATTTTAGCCTTGAGTCTTCAGCACAGGACTTGTGTGCCGTTGTCAAAGCCACTCTGTCTGGAGTGCAGGTCCCTCTCTGAAGTCAACATTTGGATCTGATGGTGCCTGAACCAACTCAAGTAATCTCAAAGTGAAAGTAAGTAAGATAGCTTTGGCTATTTCCAGCCCAG